TTTCTTCAATATTGATTGTTTGTTCTTGTAATTGAGATCGTATTTCAATGAATTTTAGGCATAATGCAACATAATTTTCACATTTAATTTCTTTAGGTATTAATTTTATAATTGGATTTTCAATGCGTAAATATTCACATGTTTCTACAAATGATTGGGACCATTGACTAGCAAGAAGATCTTCTGCATCTTTTAAATCATTTAAAAATTCTGTTATTATTTGTATTTTATCTTGAAATTCTTCTTTCTTAGTCTGATCTTGAAAAGGAATAAATGAAGATTTTAATATATGATCAAGTTCATCATTGAGTTTTTTATCTAAAGGTACACGAATTAAATGAGATACATTGATAAATCTATGTTGAAAATGATTAATCGATTGTTCATATAATTGACAAATATCTTTAATCTGTGATAAAGGAAAATCTTTAATTTGATATTGTTGAAATTGTTGAATAAATCGATGATCATAATTAGTATTTCGAATAAATTCTGAAAGTTTCATTGATGAATAATTTTCAGAAGAATCTTTTAATATATCCATAATTTGTTGAAGAAGATTAGATTCATTTTGAAGTTCAATTAGATTCTTTTGTTCTAAATGATTCCATTCATCAATTAATAGTATATTAAAATTCATATCAATATTATTTGTAATAATCGAAATTTTTTTTCGAGTATAACATTGATATTTTCCTTTGATATGTTGATAATTAATACGACAATAGAGAAGATATGTTCGAATAAGATATGATTGAACATAAAGAAAATTAAATTTTAATGTTGTATCAATTGTAATAAAATAATTATTTTCATTTTCAAGACTAGCTCGAGATAATTGTTCAATCCATTGATAATCCATTTTATTTAATGTAATTATACCCATATTTTCTTGAACAATCTGTAAAATTGATATTTCTCTTTTTGATAATTCAAAAATGATATCTTTCAATGGACCTAAATCAAGAATATCACCATGATTTTTTATTTCTATCTCAAGTAATTCGAGAAGATTATTGTGATAATCGACAAGAACACTAAAATGAAAATAAAAAACAATAGATGCATTACATATTGTACTATCGATATTTAATTATCTTCGAATATATGATAATCAATTTATTTAATTCAATATAAAGAAGTTCATGACAGCTGGAAAACTACCACTGTAATACCGTGTCTTTAGAAGAGACAGATTACTCCGCCAATGTTCAAAAAATTCTTCAAAACTCTCTTTCCTTATCGTTCTAAATCAATAAGGTTAGATTGAATCCATTAGTTTCATCATGAATCTAACTATTGGATTAGTAAATATTTAGATTGGATGCAAATTCAGTATATGGGTAAAATCATTCGTTAGCGACGTGACATCGTAAACTTGGAGTATGCATATCTCGGCACTATCAACTAGTTTAGGTGTGATTTTTGAATGGAGTACGAGTCTCTATTTACTCTAGATACTATGAAAAAAACAACACTCTAGAGCTTTGTTCAGAGGAGTTATTAACGAAAAACTAGCGTTAGCGACGTGACACCAAAAAGGACATCAAAAGTCACTTGATATACTTTGGTTTTTAAAAATTTCTAAGTGTTGCACAATTGTCAAAAACTTAATACGCGATACTAGACACCACTCCTAAGGCCACCAAATCCCAGTGTAAAATTATTTTGAGAATGTTTAGGTTTTTAAAAAAATAAAATCTATTTGGCGTTAGCGACGTGACAACTTTGTTAGCGACGTGACTGAGTACGACTACACTACTGATCGAATGCTCTGGTAACGAACTGAAAAGTTCGAAATCGATTCCAAGGGGCTCATATTAATGGTAGGAGGTCCTAGAATAATACTAAGACAAACATTTCCATTTCCGCTCTGTCTAAGGGCTCTGAAAGGTCGATTTTTTGGAAGGAACTTTTTGAAGTCCGATCTCGATGAAAATTTTACCATATATGCGGCTCATACCCTAGAGCCAATTCTGAAGTTTTCAAGTTTTTTCCTCATTCGGTTCTCGAGATATTCGCTAATTACTTCTTAATTAGTTAATTATTAACTAATTAATTAATTAATTAATAATCATATGAAAGAGCAGACAATTTTACATAAGCCTATGCAAAAACAATTCACTCAAAACATCTATACTGATAGAGAATTGCATTCAAATGCAATGGGGGAATGTCCCGTTTTCGCTGATTTTACCCATATAATTTTACAATCTATCGAAGAAGGGAAAACTGTCCTATTTGATCATAGTAAAATTTGATTGTTTTCTCTTACCTCAATATACGCATAATGATATCTCCTTCATCATAATTATCTGTTTCAACGAGATAGTTTATTGGTGTTTCCATAGAAATTGTTTGAAAAAGTTGAGTAGTATCACAGGCACCTGGTCGAATTTGTCCATTAGTAAATTTATGATAAGCATTAATAGCTTCAATTCCATTTTGAATAATTGTATAATATTTATTTTTTTGATTTATTTCATAAAAATGATTTGAACTTTGATGAACTCGTTCATATAATTGTTTCAATGTAATTGTAAGAAATTCTTCTCGTTCAATTAATTGAGTAAATGTTCGATGTAAAAGAATATGAAATTGACTTAAAGCATAGATATATCGAGTTATTTTTAAAAAATCAAATGAATCAAGTAAATGTCTTAAAATTGTCAAAGGTAATTGATTCAATTCTGGATTATATAATTCAGTTTTAAAATGAATGAAATCAATTATAATAGGCATTTGAATTATATATTCTTGTAATTTAGTTTGTAATGGAGATTGTGTTTGTATTAGATTAATTAGTTTTTTATAATCGATTAATTTTTGATGTGTTAAATAGAAAATTTTATTTTGAAATTCTTGTTCAGCTTCATATTTCTCATTGATTGTTTTGTAAATCGGTTTAATCCATGAATTTTGATTTTCTTGATGACTAAATTTAGTAAATAATTCAAAACAACGATTCAATAAAAGACAAGCATCATTTTGATTGAATTGAATTGAAAGAAAATGATATGTTGATAATAATCGTGCACGAATAAAATGACATACTTTTGTTCGAATACTATCACCACCCATACATTCTGTTACTGCTTTAGAATCAATTGCATTTTTAGCAAGAATACGATTATAAAGATTTTGTACAGATGATTCAAATAATAATAAATGCCAAGCCTAGTTGATATTAAAAAAAAACAAGGATTCAATATATAAAATCAATATGATATTTAACTAGACACTTACCATAGCACCGAAAGTAGCAAAATAAACAATATAAACAGATGGAACACTGAGTATACTTCCCGTAGAAAATGGTATTAATGCTCCTGTTTCAGATATTATACATCCACAATCGTAATGAACACCAGTTCTCCGAATAGGTGAATTTGCAGTTGATCCAAAACCTATCGTAGAATACACGAGAAATATTTCAAGGTTATAGTTCAATAATTCACTGTCAGTATTTCAGTATTTATATCAAGATTACACATTCTTCGTTCCTATATTAAAGGAACTTTGGTGGACTACTCTTTTTTAAAGACTTATTTAAATAGTTCGAATAAAATTCAACTATCACAGATTTAAAACAGTTCTGATTCTTTTTGTTTTTTGTCATTAGATATCGTTCTTGAAAACGAACTATTTATTGAACTGAAAGCTATTGTGTAATTGTCTAATTATATGAATATATATCGATATTTTGCAATATAACTATATAAATTCATTTTGGGTTTTCTCAAAAAAAAAACAATAACAACAACAGAAATCAATTTTCATGAGAAAAGTTGATATTGAATCAAATACATGATAAAATAGTCTGAAGTATGATGATTCTCTATGTGACAATATTGAAAAATTTTTTTTAATGATTTTTGTCACATTGTGTTTGAAGAATAGAATTCCTTTACATAAAACAGAAAATCTTTTTTTGTTTTGCTTTTTCTCTGTTTATGCTTTTCTGATTGCAACTCTCAGATTTCTCGAAGAAGTTTCGTTATCCACTCAATTTTTAAGCATTAGGAAGGAACTTAATCAAAACTCACCAAAAGTTTCTTCCAACTTCAATGGTTGAAATAGAAATGTCCAAAATGGATTTTCTTTTCCACTAAGTAAAATCATTGCTAAAAGATTAACAAGTATATGACGTATAGGTAATTCATCATCATCTTGACAATCAACTTTAAATAAATTATTAAGATAATTTTTATCTATATGATTATTTTCTTTTATATATCCAATAATATATTGTTCAGGTTTTAAAAGAATACGAAATACTCGTCGTTCTTCGTCTGATAATTGAAATATTGTATTTTCAATGATGATTAATAAATGATCAAGAGATTTTAATTGACCATTACAATAATAATTATAATAAATATTTAATAATAACATTACTTTTATTTCAATAATATTAAGTATTGATGGATTAATATTTAATTTTGATTCTATCCAATTAATTAAAGGTAACCAACGTTGTTCAATATTATTATTATTATTATTATTGTTTACACATTGATTAATCAATTGAGTTAATTCATAATATGGTTGATGTAATGTAGGAAAAATAGATGAAGTTATATTAGTTGTTATTGTAAATTGTAATTGATGACAATATTCTAGAGATTTATTATATTGAATATTATGTTTCGATTCGAATAGATTATATAAATTATTAGCCCATTGAGCATTTAAACATTGAAAACGATCGGATTTTAAGAGATTAAGAAAAAAATTCCATGATCGTTTAGTAATTATGATTGAACA